TATTAGCCAGTTCAGGACTTTAGGAAAATTAATTCCCTAGGTTATTATACTGTATTATAACCATGTATTAAAGCTACTAGGTTTCCATTAGTTTAAATTATTTGGAATAAAAGTGGATATTTTATTCCAAAACTCTCCATGTGTGAGTAAGTAAACATTTTTATATATGTCCTAAGTGGGACAGTGTCTCCTCCCAAAAATGTATGTCAGATTATGCCACATTTATCTACAGTTAATAATCTGAAATGCATCAGTAGTCCTACTTGCTCAGAAAGCTACTGGTCATCATACTTGTAATGGAGTAGCTTTGATTCAAAGGACACTGAAAATGTAAGGAAGCTGAAACAAAAATTTAGATTAGCAAAAAGTAGATTGAAAGGCGACTTTATTGCAGTTAATTTTGTTCCTAGGAAGAATAGACCAAGTATTATTAAAACTAGTAGAAAAAGCCTGAAAAATAAAGCCAGAACATTTCAAATAAAACTTTCCACCCTTCCACCCCCTCAAAAAAAATTTTTTTTTTTAATAACAAGGATAGTTAACTGCTTAAAAAAAACTACTTTAGGAAAGATTGGATTTTCCATCTCATGATGTCTTCAAACCAGGACAAAACACCTTTCTAAAAATATGTTTTAGAAAGATCTGAGTTATGATTTAGTCAAAAATGAGTTACTGGGCTCAATACTGGGGTATCCAGGTGAAATTTAAGACTATTATCAAGGAGACTATATTAGATGATGTAATTGTCCTTTCAGCCTTAAACTCTAAAAATGTGAGTAATAGTGGCAGAATCAAGTCTTGTGATTGCACAACCAATCAAGTAATTGCATATGCCATCAAAGCTTCTATGCAAATTGGATACCAAACTGTAGGAACCTGAGCTTTTGAAAATTAGGTCCAAATATACCAGACAGAATGCATTATGAGGAAGATTAGAATAACTAAATATGGTATTCAGTACCCATGCTAGTTGATGACTAATAAAGAATATGAATAACTATTTACAAATATTTAAAGGAGGAAATATCAAAGAAGGGATGTTCTCATAACCAGGATATATAATAGCAATTTAAAACATAAAGCAAGTGTAAAACTGTAGGCAAGATAAGAGAGCTTATTCTAATACCAAGTTCTATTATGATATAGAACACACTCTCATAGGAAGTTCTGAAATCCAATCACTTAACACTTTACCAACCCCATGCCAACACATTGATTTTTTTCCCTGTACTTTAAGACTGATCATTTGATCCAGGTTTAAAGAGCGTATAGGTATTTGTAATGCTGTTAATATAAAGTATATGAAGAATGGTCAATGAAATGCATATACTCACAAGAACAGCAGAGACCCTGCTTGCCTACTCCTATTAACATGTTCAAGCAAAGATTACAGTAGGCAGGCTTGTTAAAGTGTTTCAGTCTCCATACATGCTGCCCGTCATCCTTCACATTCTGCACAGGCCATAAAAGAAACAGATTTCATTTAATGAAATAAACAGTGAAATATATAAGTGCCAATAAAAATTGGAAATTGACTCAAGAACGTAAGAGACAAGCTGTTACTTCATTTATTACTTTACATCAGATGAAAATATAATTCTTCTAGTACACAGGAACTGATATGACAATAGATTCCTCAGAAGCTTCAACATTTCCATGCATTTCCAAACCATGAAGTGGAGTAGCCACCTATTGTTCACACTGCAACACAGATTTGTCTATAGACATTATAAAGCAGCTATAACATTAATTACATTGCAGTTAGTTTTAAAAATATCTTTGCTATAGTTTGACTGAAGATTTTTTAAAAATGTCAACAAATTTCCTTTAAGAGCTCTTGGGATGTGGAACATTTCTGTGGATGTCATATAGCCTGTATTAAGCAGGAGGTCTGAGTGCAATATGATAATGGTCCCCTTTGACCTTAAATTCTATAAGCCTAGCTCCACTAGTCCCTCAAATAACTGAGTTGGCTGACAATAATGTGTGGGGATGGGTTTTTAAAAAATTATTTAATCAAAATCAATAATAATTAAAACATGTTAATTTAGCAGTTAAGATTACCTAACACATAAAAAGTTTACTAAATCTGCTTTAAATTCTTTTTTTTTTTTCAGATCCTAAATGACATAGTCTGTTACTTGTAAGTGAAACAATATGAAAAGAAACCAAAGTAGCAAGTCTCGGAGCAGCAAGACTTTTTCAACATGTTATTCTTTCATTTTTGTGTTCTACATGTTCCTATACTGCTGTGAGATTTCTGGCCATTTCTTAACTAGCAATGTAACCAGATTACAATTATATATAGAATTTATTTCTAGAATTTGAAAATACAAAATCTAATGTAATTAATGAACCTAAGGGTGATCTAGAAATCTTAATTTTAGGTGCAACAAAAAAGAAAAAAAGCCATGGCCACCATAAACTTAATTTCTCATAACCTACTGTCAGAAATGAAACCAAAATACTTAAAAGCTCACCAATACCATGTACCAGATCAAAACATACTGCAACATACTAGGCCAAATTCAGGTCCTGTGAAAGCTGATGATATTGAATTTTGTCGGTCCTGAACTTGGCCAGTTTTGCTTGATTACTTTCTGATAACTGTGTTATTTTGATACACAATGTTCTGAAGACATAAAGTAAACAAAAAACAAAACATCTTCAATATATTGTTTAGACATATTTAAAATAATATATTTTTAAAAAAAGCATGACTACATCTATAGCTGGTTCTTGTCCAATCTCTTAATTACGATATCAAAGAACACAAAAGTGTCTCCCTCAATACTTATAAATACCTCTGTCTATAGTTTATTGTATTTCATGAGGTCTTAGTCGTAAGAACCATTAAAGTAAATCAACACATGTAATGCAACTCAAATCTTTTAGATATTACATATTAGCATTTAATTTCACATGCTAAATTCTTAAAACTATAGCACTGTTCTGTTTTTTTCCACTCAAGTTATCTGTCACTGATGAGTCATAGTCACTCTGGATCTATCTATACAGTATCATAACCAGGAAAACAATATCCAGTTATGAGAGCATCACCTTAGTGAAATAAAACGTTTACACCTGTTCTAAAGGAAGGTCTTACTTTGAATACAACTTTGAATAATGTCTACAAAATGCCTGTACTAACAAGTCAATAAGAACTAAAATCATTGGGGATGTTTTTGCATATATTAAGACTTCAGGATCAGATCCTGTGTGGAGTTCCATGATATTATCAGCAAGAACTCAAAAGCCATCCTTGACAGCTAGGCAATTTCAGGGCCTCTTGTCTGTACAGAGAACAAAGGAGATGCCTATTCAGGACTTCTCAGCTTGACAAAGAGTGTGAAGGTTTTCCAGTTTTCTCTGAAGAATCAGAAGTTGCTTCTGCAGCTATGGAGCCCTAGGCTAGGGACAGAAATTACATGTAAACCAAGTATAAGTGATCGGAAACCAGTTCAAATTTATAACATAACAGAAGGTCAGTACATACGCACTGCTTTCAAAAAGGCCCAAACCAGTTTAAGATAAACCTGGATGGATGTAGTACCAGACTGAACTGATTTACTTTAAATCATTTATTTAACTTCTGTCCCAGGTTCCCTCCAGATTCAAGTTAACTCACCGACCCCCACCATTCCCAATGCTTTGCACCTCCCACACAAACTCGCCCCTTGCAGGGTGGGCAGACTAGCCTTGGCCCAAGCTGACTGCCCCAGCTGAGCAGGAAAGTGTTCTCTAGCACTCCCTGGCTTCTGGGCTGAGCCACGACAGGCATGTGGCTACATTTCTGGAATTAGAAGTGAATATCTGTTCACTTACTTACTGGTTCAATCTATGCAGCTTAGACTAACCTGAAAAGATTGAACCAATTCAGTCTCAGGCTTTTAGACTCCCTGTACTTTGTCCCAGTCTCCAGTCAAGTTCCTTCAGGACCATTGCTAAGCGGGCCTGTTTTATTACCCAGAGATCCTTGATCAGTAATTTTTTTTCCACTTTGTCTTACTACCCCCTTCAACGCATTTCTTTAATACTATTGAACATCAATGTACTAAATATGTTTTGAGTCTTTTAAAGCCACCATTCATTCACTAGAAAATTAAAGACTGTAAATGTTTTTGAGAAAAAAATACTATAAATAATAAACACTTCTACTCTTCAGACATATTAGTCTGGTCATCAACATGTGCTGTAATAAACTAAAAAACACTTAAAATGCAAGCTGATCTGTGTTCATAAGCAAAACTATTTACTGTTTATTAAAATTAACATAAAATGCATGGTTATGCATAAATACATTTTTGCTTCACATTAGTTTCATTTTACTTTTTTCCAATTTTTATTTTTTTTAAAGATGGCTATTACATGTGAATATGCCTCTTCTTATTTGAACAGAACATATGGAGTAACTTAGCTGGCATTTTCCTTATCAGAAAAACAAACAAGTCTTGATGTGGGTGTTCTGCCAATTAAAACACTTAACTGTGTTACAGGCTGCAACCGATGCACAAATCCATTACATAAACACACACACTTTTAGAAAATAGCAAATTAAATTTTTGCTTTTGTGCACTGCCAAAATCAGCAATAAAGTGCTGCATATGATTATGCATGTACATAACTTTTTAGAACACTGTATAGGGGGAAAAAAGCCCATCTAATGTGAAACAAACCTCTCTCAGTATAAGACTAAGTATGAGTAAAATTCACATTTCTGATCCAGCAGTGCATTTACTGACTTTCAGTCATTTTGCTTCCATATCCTGAAAAAGAATCCAAAAACCAATAGTAATTTAGAAGATCTAGGGCAGATGCAGTGAAAATAGAGTATATGATATGTCTATATACCATATACACATATTAGCATATAATGGCATTAGTAATATTTATTTTACTCACACTGGCTCTCATCTCTCACTGTGGTACTAATCCTGCTACCACTGAAATCAATAGGGGGGTTGTCACAACCTATAATGGCAGAAGAACTGGACCTTACAAACAAACCAAGGAACAGACAGACCCAGAGATGTAAGCAGCTAGTACCATACCCTAGG